ATGATGATGATGATGATGATGATGATGATGATGATGATAACGATGCTGATGATGATGACGATGATGATTATGGTGCAGCTGCTGATGATGAGGATGCCGATGATGCTGCTGCCGCTGCTGCTGCTGATGATGATGCTGATGATGATGCTGATGATGATGATGATGGTGCTGAGGATGATAAGGAGGAGGATGAGGATGCTGATGATGATGCTGCTGCTGCTGCTGATGATGATGATGATGATGATGATGATGATTGTGATGGTGATGGTGATGGTGATGGTGATGGTGATGGTGATGGTGATGGTGATGATGATGATGATGATGATGATGATGATGATGATGATGATGATGATGATGATGATGATGATGATGATGATGATGATGATGATGATGTTGAGGAGGAGGAGGCGGAGGAAGAGGAGGAGGAGGAGGAGGAGGAGGAGGAGGAGGAGGAGGAGGAGAGAGCAGGGAGCAGGGAGCAGGGAGCAGGGAGCAGGGAGCGGGGAGCCTCTCTGCACGGCCGCAGGCGTGCGCGCAGGACAACGCCGCCCTCGCCAGGCGGTCCGGCGCGGGGGGGGCGGGGCGCGCCCGCGCACGGCCCCGCCGGCGCTCTCGGAGGGGCCCCGCCGCTCGGGGCGCCCGCTCGAGGGTCCCGAACGCTCGGAGAGTGCAAGGGGTGCCGCCGCTCGGGGCGCCCGCGCCGCTTCGGGAGCCTCACGGAGGTCTCCCACCATCCTCCTCCTCTCTCCTCCTCCTCCTCCTCCTCCCTCCTCCTCCTCCTCCTCCTCCTCCTTCTCACTCATCCTCCTCCTCCTCCTCCCCCTCCTCCTCCTTCTCCACCTCCTCCTCCTCCTCCTCCGCCTCCTCCACCTCCTCCCTTTCCTCCTCCTCCTCCCCCTCCTCGGGGTGCCGCCTCCTCGGGGGGCGAGGGGGGGACGTCCGCCGTCCACCCCAAAGGCCCCAGCCAGACCAATCCTGGGCCAGGGACCCGTGAGCACGCCTTCTGAGCCCGGCCGGGGAGGCACGTTGCGCGGACTCCATGGGCCCAGGATGAGCTCGGCCAGGATCGGTGGGATGCACATCGGACGTCCCCCCGAAGAGGAAGGCAGATAGGGGAGGAGGATGAGAAGGAGGAGGAGCAGGAGGAGGAGGATGAGCAGGAGGAGGGGGAGTAGGAGGAGGAAGAAGAAGATGAGGAGGGGGAGGAGGAGGACGAGGAGAAGGGGGAGGAAGATGAGGAGAAGGAGGAGGAGGAGGAGGAACGAGGAATATTGATGAGGATCGAGGAGGATCGAGGAGGAGGAGGAGGAGGAGGAGGAGGAGGAGGGACAACGGACGAGGCGCGAGGATAGGAGAAGCAGGAGGAGAGGAATAAGTGGAGGAGGAGTAGGAGTAGGAGTAGGAGGAGGAATCATACGAAGACGAATAGCAGGAATACTATTGATCGTGAGAGTACTACTGCTAGAAGAAGGCTCGGACGACTACTCATGAGCATGCCAATTTCGTCAACATTAATAATACGGTCAGTGCTACCGATGATGATGATGATGATGCTGATGATGATGATGATGATGATGATGATGATTATGATGATGATGATGGTACCAACAAGAATAATAATACATATTCTACGACGTTGATCAATAATGGTATTCAATATCGTACTGCTACTAGTAATAGCCTTACTAATAAGACGAATCGCAACGATATCACGACAACTAATAACAACAAGAAGACGAGGAGGATGAGGAGCAGGAGGAGGACTGCGGAATATTGATGAGGATCGAGATGGATCGAGGAGGTTCGAGGAGTAGGAGGAGGAGAAGGATGAACGAGGAATAGTGATGATAACCGAGGAGGACCGAGAAGGATCGAGGAGCAGGAGGAGAAGGAGGAGGATCGATGAGGGACGAAGAGGATCGATGAGAAGGCAGAGGGAGAGGAGGAGGAAGAAGAGGAGGAGGAAGAGCAGGAGGAGGAGGAATAACAAGAAGACGAGGAGGGGGAGGAGGAGGACGAGGAGAAAAGGGAGGAAGATGCTGAGGAGGAGGATGAGGAGGAGTAGGGGGAAGGAGGCATATGGATGAGGATCGAGGAGGATCGAGGAGGAGGAGGAGGAGGACGAGGACGAGGACGAGGAGGAGGAGGAAGAGAAGGAAGAGGAGGAGGAGGAGGATGAGGTGGAAGATGATGTCTGGGGGGGAGGAGGAAGAAGACGGATACGCACACTAGGAATACTAGTAATAACAGTACGGCGGGTAGTACTAGTAAGGCCACTACGAATTGTGATACTACTGATAACAAGAAGAATGCGACGAAAACTACTACATTTACTAATAACAATACTAATGCTACTACCCATAACAATGATACCACCAGCAAGAAGACGACGACTACTCATAGAGCGAATAATACTAGTAATACTCGTTGCATGAACAGCGGCACGAATACGACGAACCGACACCTAGCACTACTACTACGAATGCGACGCACTACATGAATGCACCGATGAACAACAACATGGGAATGTTACTAATACTTATACTACTAAAACTAATACGAAGACGAGCAGGGGGATGATTAGGATGGCCAATGCATAGTGATGCGGATCAAGGAGGACTGAGAAAAATGAAGAGGAGGGTGATGACGCGGAGGAGGAGGAGAAGGAGGAGGCGGATGAACGAGTGATCAGGATCGTGGATGATCGAGGAGGGTCGAGGAGGATCGAGGATACTCGATGAGGAGGCGGAGGAGGAGGAGGAACATGAGGATCGAGGGGGACGATCGCGGAGGATCGAGGAAGATCGATGAGGACACGGAGGAGGAGGAGGAGGAGGAGGAAGATGATGGGGAGGATGATGATGATGCGGAGGAGGAGGAGGACGAGGAGGAAGAGGAGGCTGCGGAGGTGGAGGAGGAGGAAGAGGAGAAGGAGGAGGAGGAGGAGGACGAGGAGGAAGAGGAGGAGGAGGAGATGAGGAGGAGGAGGAGGAGGAAGGAGGAGGAGGATGGGGAGGATCGAGACGCGGATCGAGGAGGCTCGAGGAGCGAGGAGGAGGAGGAGGCGGAGGGTTGAGGCGGAGTTGGAGGAGGAGGAGGATCGATGCGGACCGAGGAGAGTCGATGCGGATCGATGAGGATACTGGACGAGTAGGAAGACGATGAGGAGGAGGAGGAGGAGGAGGAGGATGAGGAGGCGGAGGAAGAGGAGGAGGAGGAGGAGGTGGAGGAGAGGAGGAGGAGGAGGAAGGAGGAGGAGGAGGAGGAGGAGGATGGAGGAGAGGAGGAGGAGGAGAAAGATCGAACATGATCGAGGAAGATCGGTGAGGATCGATGTGGATCGAGGAGGATCGGGGAACGAAGAGGAGTTGGGAAAGGGGGATGATCAAGGAACGTTGATCGAGGAGGATCGAGGAGGAGGAGGAGGAGGCGAAGGAGGATGATCGAGGATGATCGAGGGGGATCGAGGAGGATCGATGCGGATCGAGGAGGATCGGGGAGGATTGAGGAGGATCAAGGAGGATCGAGGATGAGGAGGAAGAGGAGGAGGAGGAGGAGGAGGGGGAGGAGGAGGACGAGGAGGAGGCGGAGGAGGAGGACGAGGTGGAGGAGGAGGAGGAGGAGGAGGATCGAGGAGGACTGAGGAGGATCGAGGGAGGAGGATCGAGGGGAGGAGGAGGGAGGTGGAGGAGGAGGAGGAGGAGGCGGAGGAGGAGGAGGAGGAGGGGGGGAGGAGGAGCAGAGGAGGAAGAGCGAGGGGGAGGAGGAGGAGGAGGATGGAGGAGGAGGAGGAGGAGGAGGATGAGGGGGAGGCGGCGGAGGCGGAGTTTGAGGCCGGGGGTCGGCATGCGGAGGCGGAGGCGGAGGCGGAGGCCGGAGGGAGAAGAGGAGGATGAGGAGGAGGAGGAGGAGGAGGAGGAGGAGGATGACCAAGGCGGAGGATCGATGAGGATGCTCGAGGAGGGGGTTGGCCCGCCCGAGGTGGCTCATCGACCGCGGGGCCTCCGTGCGCCTCCTGGACGCAGCAGGGAGGGCGGCCGCTGCTCTGGCGCCGCCCGCCCCGCGCGCCTCCTCCGAGGGGCGGGCGTCGAGGGGGGCTGGAGGAGAGCTCCGAGGAGGGCGAGGGGAGGGGCGGGGGCGGGGGGGCGAGGGCGAGGGCGCCTTCCTCCGACCCTTGTCCTCAAGTCCCCTCCTCCTCCTCCTCCTCCTCCTCCTCCTCCTCTCTCCTCCTCCTTCTGTCCCCTTATCCTCCTCTCGTTCCTCTCCTCCTCCTCCTCCTCCTACCTTATTTCCTCGCTCTCATTCATCCGATCTCTGCTGTCTGCTCCTCTCCTCTCTCGCCTCCTCCCCTCCTCCCCCTCTCTCCCCTCTCCTCCGCTCCTCCTCTCTAACCTCCTCCTCCTGCTCCTACCCTCTCCTTCTCCTCCTCCTCCCTCATCTCCTTCTTCTCCTCTCCTCCCTCTCTCCTCCTCCTCCGGTTCTCCTCTTTCTCCTCGTATTCCTCATCCTCTCCTCCTCCCTCGCTAGGCTTCCACCCTCCACCTCCCCCTCCGACTCCTCGTCCTCCTCCTCCTCCTCCGCCTCCTCCTCCTCCTCCTCCTCCTCGATCCTCGTCGATTTCCTTCGATACGCTTCTATCCTTCTCCTCCTTCTCCTTCCTCATCTTCCTCCACCTCCTCCTCCTCCTCATCAGTTATACTCATCATCATAATGATCATAATCATCATCAGCATCAGCATCTTCATATCAATATTCATCTTCACCATCACCATCACCTGCATCATCATCGTCACTACCACCAGCATCGGAATCATAATCACTCTCATCATCGTCACCATCGTCACCATAAACATCGTCATCATCATCATCATCATCATCATCATCATCATCATCATCATCATCATCTTCATCATCATCATCATCATCATCATCATCATCATCATCATCATCATCATCATCATTATCATCACCTTCGTCATCGTCGTCGTCATCGTCATCAT